TCGTTCAGTTAAGAGAATACACGCCGTATTTCTCTGTGACACTGCTTGATGATTTTCCTGGAGCACTGGTGCCAGGTGACAATTCTGCTACCACTTTGCATTTCCTTACAGAATCCATTTCCCCTTTATCCTCAGACTCAGCAGGTTGTTCACTGACTGGTTATCTGGACTTCTTTGCTCTTTAATGGAGGCACATCAGCCCAGGTGCCTGTTGCAAATTGACTTGTTCAGGCAGTCACACGAAGGGGTGGGAGCTGCCCTGATAAAATCTGCTTCATTTTAAAGGCATACCGCCTTAGTAGAAAAGACCAAGAATTATCCACTCTCTCAATCCCAGATCAGCTCATGACTAAATGCACCAGTGGTAAACCCAGACACAATGAGGAAACAAAGGGAGTCCAACATGGTTCCTTTTCTTAAACCAGTGAAGCAGAAAACACACAAGACAGCTGAATAAAAACATTAAAATCATACATTTCAAGGCCGTGTTCCTTCTACACAGCAGCTTGGAAAAAACCCGGGAATGGATGCAGTTAGGAAATAAACGTGATTTGTGTTTAACTGAAATGACTGATGTAGGTTGTAACTACAGTAACTGAGCACTGTGGAAGAAACAGGAAAACTCTACATGCTAGTGTCAAGCCAAGACGCATTAAAACAGTGCAGACTGTCAGAATCCCTCCAACATGTGAGATTATTTACTTTTTCTTCAGGGAAGATTTACATCAACTCAGGAAGCGTAATAGGCCTATCCTCAGATGCTGGAACAGCACTCTGACAAACGCCAAGGAAAATATGGAACAAGTGCAGTCAGTCAATTCCATTCTCATTCTTAAGAGCAGAAGAGGAATTTAACCAGTTAATCCCTTGACAAGGATCGACAAAATGGAAAGAAAAAGACTCGACAGATTAATGCCAAATCAGAAAAGCTCAGGGCGAGATCTGATCCCCTTTATTGATTTCTTTTGTGCTTACCTTGCTGATTCTGCGATTTGAGTTAAAACAGAGGAATTTCAAGGATTGAAAGCAGAAATTGCAGCTGCAGCCTGCTGATAAATGCATTTTCCATTTTGATCTAACATGGTCACTGGTGTGAGGAATCAAAGGGGCAGGAAGACACACCTAACAAACATTGCCACATGTGATACTGAGCTGCACGTCCGGACGAAACAAGTTATCTGGTAACCTTAGACAGCCGGTGACTAAACTTCCCTGTTCCCTAAAACTGCTTCATTCAATGATTTGAGATAAGATCTGAACTGCCATCATCACAGAGACATGAACAAGAGCTATAAGCTCCTCAATGGGCCTTGAAACATCAATTGATTCCTTATCACGATTAAAATCCTGCATATAAACTACAGACTCCAAACAATCACAGAGGTGAAGTTAATTCAGCATCCATTCAGTCTTTAATACTAAATGTGCCGTCTTCCACACGCATGGAAGGAATACTCCATTTTGTCATAACCTTTCCATTATTTAGGTTCAGTGCTTATCTTCATGTTTTATTCATCTATTTTGTGATACGCAGCCTTTGTGCAGGGACTACAGGGGCTGGAAATGTGCATCAGGAACTTACAAAGAAAACTGAGAATGTGTCTCTTGGATCAAGTGCTGTGGCGTATGGAACAAAACTCAACTAATTCAAATATTTTGCCAAAGAAAAGAAGCAAAGGCACAAATAATGAAGGGACACTCCATTTCTAGATCCATAGCAGATGGGGGGAAAAAAGAAGCTACACTTTACAGAGACATTTCATGCAGTGTTTTGAAAATGACCTGTTAAAGAACCACAATGAGCTAAATGTTTAAAAAGATCAAGTTTGAGTGGCCAAGTGCCTCCATTAGTTCCTACAGCAAAAGTGAAGCTTAATCTCCTGTCAGCTCCCCTCAAGCTAGTCTCCCAGGACTCAGAGCTCTCTCCGCCATCCATCACCTCAGCACAGCGGGGACCGAACGGAGACGCCCCAAAGGAATAAAGATCAGAGCTATTTGCATTCACAATCAAACTATCATGACCCAACAATCCCATAGTGACTCTCTCCATTTCACTACATCACAACTGTCATCCAAATGAAATGCCATGAAGTAGCAATTACAGTTTTCTTCAAAAGAGAGGAAATATCAGCAAAGTCAAAATGCTAATTACAACATTCCAAAGGGGCTGCGTGCCCCGTGTGAGGAAACACGTTCCTCCCAGTCTCACTTCAAACATCTATTTCAGCACTATTTATGAACATGTCTGCAACTGTCCTCAGACCCCCTGACTGCTCGACCAATCAATCCATCAATCCAGCTTCAGTCCGTGGCATTTCATAGACAAAGGTAGACTTCATTGTGCTTCAAATGAGTCTGAAGTGCAAATACACACTGCAGCAGCACAGCATGGGACTGTACGTCATGACTCAAAATGAGCTGTGTGTCAAGTTTGGTTGACAAGCCTGTGCAAAGAAATCAGGCCATTAGCTGCACATTTAACCCTAAAGACTCCAAACAATAACGCTGTCTATCGAAACAAAACAGGAAACATCACCCGTGGCTGACATCTCTCAGGGGACATCGTGGGAGAATCAAACAGCAAATAAACACAATTAAAAGACTAGTAACAACAAAATAAGGCCTCTATGTTGTGATATTAATAGAAACCCTTCCTACAACACATTCAAGAGACTGCATGACATGACTGACAACAGCTGAACAACAGGGGTCTCCGGCAGAATGATTTCAGCTTCTTTACTGCCAAGATTACAATTCACAGCCACACAATTTCCAGTCCTGAATAACAGTGTGTTCAGGGATGGTGATCTTCCACTCTTCGAACAGTGTGTTCAGGGATGATGCTCTAACAGTGCGTTCAGGGATGGTGATCTTCCACTCTTCAACATTCATTTCCCAAATGTTTAATCTATTTAAGAAGAAGAATTATAGCTGGAAAAACTCCTTATCCCACTGCTGAGAGTGATGTCTATATGTACAGCATAGGACCCAAGGATGGAGCCAAGATACGAACAAGCACCTGGTTGCTAACTCGATTCATAGTCAATTAAGTATCAGTCTGGAATACTGGAGCAGGAAGAGGGCTGCTGCTATTACTCACAGGTCCATTATCCTCAGTGTTCCTTTTATTTGATCATCTATTTGATGAGCTGTTGGGGATACTCTCCGTTTATAAATTTGGCACTCCAACTGGTTTCCCTGATGGATAACTGCAACAGGCTTTGCTGCTACTTGCATTTGTTGGGGCCATTCCCACTTGTTTGTGCTTGGCTAATGAGAGTAGAGTCTGGAACGTGTTGTATATCCATCAGGCCATCAAAGAGGGTGGACATTTACAGCCACACCCTTTAACCTCAGGGTGAAAGATCAAATTCTTGTTCTTGCGTGTCAAAGAAATGGGTCCAAGCAACTGCTGAAATAAAAAATTTCCAGGCCCTTCCCTTCACGACGATGTGTGAAAGAATGAATTATGCAGTTACTCTGCTTTTAAATAAACTGCAGAAATAAAAGAAGGAATCAGAGCAAAGTGTATCTGTGCCATGTCTAACTAGGATCATAACAGGCTGCTTTACTCAAATAAGATGTTTCCAGGATGCTTTAAGCAGAAATTGAGACATTTTCCATTTCCCTTGATTGAACAGCTTCAAAGGACATCCACCACGAATCCCAAGGGAACCAGTTAATCCTGATCTTCTCCACAAGCAAAGGGATCATCTCAGTGTAAATCAGACAGGGCTTTTGATCAAAATATTCAGCCTTAAACACATGACACTGTAAGAAGCCTTACTGCAAACAAGGTCAACCTGATAGTAGCTCATCCAAGGTGAACAAAGCCTCCAAGACAAAAGATTTGTCTTTTGTCAACAGACTAAAAGGGGGGTCACTGACGTAGGATCAGCAAAGCATTAGATGAAGTAAACATGTCCATTCTATAGTCTGCCAAAAAAAAAGAGGACATCAGCCTCATTTACAACATGATCTAACATTTGTTGACCACACTTGACCCTCTTCCATTTCTGCCTTTAAATATGGCGCCAGGCAGAATTTACTAGTCCAAGATGTAAACAAACCAGTAAACATTCAGCTAAGCCTGAAAACCCTCCACATAATGGATCCCAAACACACACACACTTGTTGTCTTGTTTTGTTTTCCAGTTAGAAGGCTGTCAATACAACCAGTTTAATGATGCTCCTTTCAATAAGAGTCAAATACACTTATTAAGCACATGTTTAAATAATGAGGGAAGCTTTAATGTCTGATGATCAATGTGAAATTATCACTCTTTATCTACCAGCAGACCTTCCCCTCAACACCACATCCTCTGTCCAAACACACACACACACACACACACACAGTTTGTCTGCCTCTAAAAATCTATTATGTATTCAGGACAATTTCTCAAAGAGTAGACTGGAGCCAATTTGTTGAAAGAAAAATGTCACCATACCCTGAGTCACTCTTCCTGAGAAAATATCAAGACTGAATTTAAAAACAGCAAAGGTCTGTGTCTCATTGCCAGTTCAGAGGGATGGAGGATTTGGACACAGTGGCTCCTTAAATGCGGATTATTTACAATATGGAGGTAGCAGGCCGCGGGTTTCAATTATCATTCAAGAGTGGCTCCGAGGTGCCATTACAATGAGATAACTGGGACTGCTGGCCCTCACGGTTCGCACACACCGCCACCTGCCTGCTGCCCGAGTAACTTCGTTATTTTGCAGCCAAATAAGTATTCTGCAGTCGTTTTGTGAGGGCTGGGTCCCAACACTTAAGACACTTTCCAGTTCTCTCTCACTCATTTGCACATCTTATTGCAAAACGCACACCAGGCAATCACGTCGCTCCTCGATCCATGCATTAATCAAGTCCCACTTAATGCCAAACATCACGCAGCAGCAGCAGCAGCAGCACACGCACACGCCGGAGCAGGGAGGCGATGATAAAATGAAGCAGATAAGTGTGAGACGATTCCCTGCTGAAGTCTCTTTCTGCGGCTTACCTTGGGTGTGCAGCGCCAACAGGAGTATCCATATCCCCACACACATCGCCATGGCACCTCAACTCTCTCGATCTTCTCAGATCAGCCAAGGAGTGGATTGATATGGCTCACTCGAGACGACAAAGACCAAGCATGCAACTTCTGCAAATCCCACTTCGGCCCCAACTATTCTACCTCTCTCACTGAGCAGAAGCAGACTTTCGCGAAACTAGAGGATCGGTCGTGCGCCCCTCCGTGCCAAAGCATCAATTTCACGTCTGCTGCGGTTCCCTGGCAGGCGGAGAGTTTGCACTGAGTCGAGCCTGACCGGGTTCTCAAAACGAGACCCACGCGGCTGCAAAGCTGCTGTTTAGATGATGGAGTCTTTTATAGGAACAGCAAGCGAAGAGAGGAAGGAGAGTTGGTTCTTCACCATCCAGCCTTTGTTGCTCCGTTCACCACAGCGGCTGCACAACTCTCTCTCTCTTTCTCTCTCTCTCTTTCTCTCTCTCTCTCTCTCTCCCTCGCTCTCTCCCGTTTCCAGTACTGTGGTTCAGAGGTAAAGTGGGCGGGAGGTCCTCGGTCGATGCTGCGCTGGGAAGTTTCCGCACTTCCGAGAGTTCCTCCGGGGAAATGTCTTACTTTTCTCCCTTTTGCAAAACAGTCATAGCACCTTACAGATAGTCTGCTGGCACCGTCCCTGTTCAATGTCCTTAAATTCCCGGCTGTCCCTGTCTGCTGCCACTGCCAGCCGGAGGAATCACCAGGCCGGTGAAGTTGCTATAACTGTGGAAATGGTGGAAGCGCCCCCTTCTCTTCTTCTTTTTTGACTGAAATACAGTGTAGCTTTACCCCGCTATTCGGACCGCCCCATGGATCTGCCACCACAATGTGCCGCTGACTCTCTCTGACGCTTTGGGAGAGATCGGGATCAAGTGACGTTGTGCAAGGGAGGAGCCTGGATTGTCCTCCAGCCCTGTAGCCACTGGGAAGTGACTCAAACTTTTTCTTGCACGTTAGAGGTCTATGGAATAAGACACTTGGAACTGAAGGTGATAAAAATGTGCGCAAAGGGGAGGACAGAGACAGATCCGTGGACAAGACAGGGTGGGAATGTGGGGAGAGGACAATAGCAGCGGGTATGTTCAAATCCGTTCAAGGGCTCACAGAGCCACGACACCTTGAGACTTGATCTTCTGTTTGATGGGAAAAGGATGTGACTCATGACTAAAAGGTTTACTTAAACAAATGGTTCCATGAAAAGCATTCCCTCCCCCACATGTTGAGAAAGGTGACTGAATCCCACAGTGATCATCAGCATTAGTGAGAAAGGCAGCAGAATGAAGAACGTTCATTCTAAAATGTTTCTTTTTATATCATCAGGTATCACAATTTTTCTCCTAAATACAAATGCTCAAAACAAAATGAAGTTATAAAGTTATTAAACTACTCTCATTGATGTTCAGTGAACAGAAGAGCAGCACATCACATTTTGAGAACCACCTTCCAGGCAGTGAAACCCATAAACACAAACAGTGACATTTATGATTATTACATTACTAAATCTAATTTAGTTTAAAAAAGTACAGTATATAGTACAAAGGCAAAACATTAATAACAAAAGTCACTCCTGAGTCACTCCTGAGCCCGCTGACAGCTGACTAACACACCTGGCCCCTCCTTCTTTCTTTCTTTCTTTCTTTCCTTCCTTCCTTCCTTCCTTTCCTCACTCACTCCTGAGCCAGCTCATCTTTTTCTCTGGTTGTAACCAAACAGGATCGGGCCTGTGAAGGTGCTGGCTATGAATAAATAAGGGGATGAATGTGATAACACTTCCCTCTTGTGGACAGTAGTTCTTCAGATAATTACCCTAGATCAGGTCCAACATGATTAATATTGTGTTGTTTGGAGTTTACAGCTGCGCATCAGGTCAAAATTCTGTCTGATTGGTGGTTTACTATCAGCACCACAGTAATATCTACTCAACAGCAGGTGAAATGATCTGGCATGGCAACAGAGCACTGAGCCAATTGGTTATTAGAGTCAGAGAGTGTACGCAGCACAGCAACACAAATCACACAGTATAAAAAGCAAAACCACATGCAGCAAACTATTCTTTTTAAGTGAAGGACGTGCAGCTAATAAACATATCTCCAATCCTATTAAATGCAATAAAGCCAGAAGAGTGCCTCTGTACTGGGAGCATACAGATAAACTCAAGACTTGACATTTAGCTTTGTCTGATATAGAGCTGCAAAGAAAAATGAAAGAGCAGCTGCAATTTAAATTCTACATGCTTATCTCAAAATAATGGTTTTGTAAAATGAAATCATGTCAACTGAATGTACTATGTAGTTTTCAGCTGAAATGTATTACTGTCTATTGACAAGGCAAACACAAAGTGGAAACGGGTATCTTTCAAGATGGCAATAGTGTTTCCAGAGCTATGAATAAAACATGGCCTACAGTACGAATTACCTGTGTCAATTTTACACTACATATAACCAGTTGGAAGATAATCACCTTACTTCATAAACTTTGAAAGGTCAGAGCAGCAGCAGCAGCCTGAAGGTACTGAGAGATGATTTAATCTAAATCGGATACACCTGGAAAACTTGCAGTGGATGAAGGGAACATATAATCCTCTCCTTCAAATGTGCCCTTGAGCAAGGCACTTAGCCAGTAGCTGCTCCAGTGGCAGGTGCTCACTGGGCATCAGCAGCTACACACTCGCTGTGAGAGCAAAGCCGCTTGAGCCAAAACCTCGGCATCCAGACTCAGATGCTTCCATGCTCGGCCAAGCTTCAGATAATAGCTGAGAAAGTCAGGGTTTGCCCCTTGCCTTTGGTGCATTAACTCCGATGCCCCCTTCATCGAGCGGCAGAGGTTGTGATTGATTTACAGGCGGGCTGATGAAATTTGATACACTCCTTCTGAACTACAGGTTGTACCAGAGCCGCTGTGGACATTTAGGAACTGCCCTGCATATTGAATGTTTGGAGATGCACAAGGAAATGTAGCAATGGATACATTTTAATGTAGGCTCAATAAATGTAACAGACGAAGGTTCTGCTGATTAATATATCACTGTCAAATAAATGATGATGATGCATTTCACTGCAGAGAGGATGTAATTGATATTTTGCTGACAACGGTATTACTGCAGTGAAAATATGGATGCAGTGATATACTGTTGGCTGATTATTTCAGGTAAAACTACTTGTTATAATATTAGATTGTTATAATTTAGATGTTTACCTTCCTCAACAATTGCAGAAATAGGTTACATGTTGTATTAGTTTCCATCACCTGCAAAAATACATTTCCTTTTCAATTTTCAATTCAATTTTATTTTTATAGCACCACACCACAACAACAATCATGACTTGGCAACAGTGTAGAGCAAAAGCTTTAATCAGGTGAGCTTTTCCTGTAATTGTAAGATCTCATTCTCATTTTCACAAATAATCTCCACGCTGAACCAGTTCCTGATTTAAAGCTTATTTCCAATTACATGAACAAAAAATGAAAAAAGAATCTAAATCATTACAACCCCATGAAACTGAACAGGTCCATTTTAACTCAGAAGCCATACAGAAGCCATCTAATTTACTTACATTATGTCATATATTAATATCTGTGACATAGGCCGTGAGTCTAATCTGTTTCCGCCCCAGATTCTGTCATCACCATGGTCAGTGATGCCGACACCGGTTTATGCAACATGACATCTGTCGTATGGGTGACCTACTGTAAGCTGTCGCAAACGTGCTATGGTGTGCACAAACATTAGGACAGAACTTTGGCAAAGTGTTGATGAGCAAAACTGAATCCAGGTTCTCAGTAGTTCAGCACAGAATGAAATGTGCACTGGGCCCAACCCAAGTCTGCCTCCCTGGAGAGCAGATGACTCTTCTGATCCTAAACTGTTTCCCTGGCCTGAAAAACATTTGTTAGAGAACTCTGTGTCCTACAGAAACAGTCTCCAGTTCTTCATCTGTTTTTGGACACATCTACAAAATATAACATTACACTGTATGTCAATAAAATATAACCCTCACACAGGGAGCAGATGCCATCCTGAACACAGCATATTAACATCTGGAAACAACAAACACTCATGCCAGGCTGCTGTTATCTGATTCCCCTCAGCATTGAATACAGTGCAATTACTTCATAGCAAACAAATTACTGACCATTTAACTTAATGACTTGATACAGTGGATGGTAATTGTTTTAACAACCAGAGTTATGCTGTTAATGTCTTCAGTTCTTCATTCTCCTTAGAGACAGCTAGAGAAGCCTAAACCTGGATACCATACAGGTCTTTGGTGACATTCTTATGTTCCCAACAAACCAACACAGCACAGAAGAAACAAGGCAGCTAATCTCCTTAAGAGTGAACAGACAAGACTTATCAACCTTGTATAGTGTTTTTATTGACAGCGCTTTTTTTTTCTTCAAATATCACTTGAAAGGGGCAGAAATAGGCTATCTGGCTTTACCAGCAGGTGCTTCAAAATCACGGCCGGAAGAAAAGAGGAAGTCTTAGAGGTAGGAACTCTCAACAAGTCACAAGAAAAGATCTGGGGAAAAAAGAAGGCTTGCTGCTCAGCCTGCTTGCACCTTCGGTAGTCCAATGTCGAACAAATTGAAGGGAACGTTCTTCAGTGGCTGAAGACAAAATTAGGTACTTTAAATATACATGTATGCATTTGACATCTGACCTCTGGCCATGTTCTGCACTTCAATGAGACAAATATTCAAATGGAAACATCTAACCTATCTAATTATCTGTCCAGTGAAATGTAAAATACATGCTGTGTTGTTGAATGTTGCTTGCATAAAGAACTGCTCTATATAGAATAAACAATGCTGCAATAAAGTCAAATGAATTGAGGCAACAGACATCTGTGTTTGGAGCTCCATTTTAGTGCCTGATTATTGATTGTAAATCTTAGCATTTAAGAGTGACCCTGGTCCTATACAACACATCTACAAGGCAGCTGTGTTCTCCCACATTAATCTTTTGTATTTTACAAACAATGTAAGCATAATATGCTATTTTTGATGTTGTAGAAATACTACATCGAGAGGAGCCACCTGAGGTGGCTCGGGCATCTCTTTCGGATGCCTCCTGGGCGCCTTCCTAGGAAGGTGTTCCAGGCATGTCCCACCGGGAGGAGGCCCCGGGGAAGACCCAGGACACGCTGGAGGGACTATGTCTCTCGGCTGGCCTGGAAACGCCTTGGCATTCCCCCGGAGGAGCTGGAGGAAGTGTCTGGAGAGAAGGAGGTCTGGGCATCTTTGCTTAGACTGCTGCCCCCGCGACCCGGCCCCGGATAAGCGGAAGAAAATGGATGGATGGATGGATGGAAATACTACATATACCCACTAAAATTACTTTAAGGAAGGTAACATTTACAAAATGTCCTGTGTTATCTTATAGTTTTTAAACAGTCGAGGAACAGAAACTAACCAAAGCAAACTTTGGCTTAAATCCCAACATCCAAGTATTTAGGTCTTTATCAAATAAGATGATCTGTTACTGATAGTTAATAGGTTTAAATAAATGAATCTGTTAAAGGATAAGGCCAGTCATTTTCTATTTTAACAGTATTTGCAACAATGAATTGCCTCTCCTTGAACCGCCACCTTATTGTGGTGGAGGGGTTTGAGTACCCGAGTGATCCTAGGAGCTATGTTGTCGGGGGCTATATGTCCCTGGTAGGGTCTCCCAAGGCAAACAGGTCCTGGGTGA